ACATTCTCACTATACAGAGAGTCCGCAAAGTTGGGGTTTTCCTTTTCAGAAACAACTACCCTTGAAATAACAAAGGTAATGTGTAGTGAAACGAGGGCGACCAAGTAAAGAAAAAAAAGTACTCACTCTCCAGTTGACGAGAAGGGCTAAGTACGTCTCTGCCCGAAATCATACCGCTCCAACAGAAAATGAAATCAGCTGATGCGCTACCGAGTAGACGCCGGCGGTGGTGCAGACCACGATCTGAGGTAACAAATATGACCATCGTGCAGAAACCACATCGATTGTCTTACACTTAATGGCACATCTTCTAACAAGGAAGGCAAAATGTTGCGTAAAAAGTCTAGGTATTGCAACGTGAAACGGATACAGCCCCTCTTCATGCAGCGTTTGCCACACTTTAGTTTTTGATACTTGCACTTCTCTAGTGCTTGTTGTTTTTTGAAACGCAATCGATTATACGGGTTCGTTTACCTCTACACGCGTAATCGTAACCATCGGTTGAAGGTTGCATACTGACCTGACACACTAACCCCGACCCAGTTCTGTCTATTATTATTATTATTATTATTATTATTATTATTATTATTATTATTATTATTATTATTATTATTATTATTATTATTATTATTATTATTATTATTATTAGAAGGACAAACATGTACAACACGAAAAAGAATTGAATGTATCAAGTGAGCCAAATAGGTCCATACATTTAGTCCATAGTCTCACCCAGCTGATTACGCTCGTCCTTACTGAAAGTATGGACCATCTGGCAACGTCCGCCATGCTTTGCTGGTCAGCAAGTACCACAGAGACGCGGCACGTGCGTTTGGTGCTTCTCGAGTGTTTAGAGAAATTGTACGGGGATGCGGGAAAATCTATGATTTATGATATGTGTGTAGAATTTAGCAAGGTTGGAATCATATGAATATACCACCGACAAAAAATGAGATATATTCTCAACCAACTCCGACAACCGCCACAACCACTTTTTAACCCCTGCAAATGTTTTTCCAAAATTGATCAGGACCCCTATTGTTACAAAAAGGCGGAAAATATTGCTTACACCTCAACTTTGAATCCATAACGACTCCAAGATAGGAATGTACGTATTATTAAAACTGAGGACAATCTTCACCCCTGAACGTTGTAATAACTGCTTTGGGCGAAACAGCGCATAGCAGAACATTTTGTACAATTGATCTTTAGACAATTTCGCTTACAGTAATTTTCAGTAGTAACTATATCTAAGTTCAGTTTGTTCAAGACTACATGAAAGTGAAATGAATTAAATGACATAGTCAGCTAAGTGTCGTCTGCGCAAGCTTGAATATTGAAGCGTCGTGAATTAAATGTATAAACTAAGTAGAGAAACGGTCCCAATACGGAGCCTTGAGGTACACCGGATGAAACATTTTCCGCTGATGAAACACCTTTACATGTTTTCACCTTCTGGGTACGATTGTTCAAATATGAATCAAAGAAACGTAGTAGAAGGACCATAAAATTTAAGCTTACACAAGTGATATTTGAGATCGAGTGAGAAATAACAAACATTAGATACAGCTCGATATGTAGCTATCCTTTTTGAGTCTTAGGAAAGCATCGGGAAAAGACGTTCAATGCTTGCAGAATTATAAGCACCATCAGTAAATGTTAGCACCTTATTCCGACATCAGTGGTGGCAGATATTTCAGGAACTGTGATTTGGTAGCTGATATTTCTAAATCACGAATAACGACTGTCCTCAAAGGGCAACGGACGCCAACATTTCAGTCAGTGTTGCCATACGTAGCGGAATTCCGCTATTTGTAGCGTATTATTTTGAGAAGAGCGGCGTAGCGGCGGTAGAGCAAATTAGCCCAAAATGTAGCGGAATTTATTACATACAAAACTATCATATTTATTTCACTGTTTTAACGTTAATAACGTTCTAAATCCTAAATACGCAGTGGCTAGAGTCTGATTTATTATCACATTAATATAAATATAATATAATAAAATTGGTGCATTTGGTGCCGCTTGAGCCATCTAGGAACAGAGAAGAGAATCATTCCACTTGCCTTTTTTTTCAATAACAGAAGGCGTACGTACTGCTTTCAATAATAATCGTTCTAACAGGTCTCAGCAGGCAGACATAATATTAGGTTTCTCGCTTTGTATTGTATTTTTCAGCTCTGGGTATATACTGTTTAGTTTCGTTTATATTAGTGTTCTTATTTTTGTGTTGATCATTTTATTGATATATCATTTGCTGCAGATTTTAATATTAAATCTACTGGTAAGTAACAAAACTGCTTAAATATCTAACATATTATAGTTTGATCCAGAAATAAATCTTACTCGCGAAATTTGTTTTTAACGATTTTTCTTCTGGAAAATAGGAATAATGGAAAGGCGACAGCAGACCATTAACGATTTTTTTGATAAAAATACTTCTAAAAAACAAACGGTGAAACCATCCACTTCGACTGCATATGTGTCGGACTCGGAGCATCCCGAACCTGAATACAGACAAAGTGGAAACAGGTCTGAGTCTGATAATTCGACTTGCGAATCTCAGGATAACCAAGAGCCAGAGCAACCTGTTAAGAAAAAGACACGAAAACAAATGTTTACTTCATCATGGCTAGAAGATCCGTTATTTAAAGGCTGGTTGGGACCTATTGAAAATGACAAGTTGAAAGCAAAATGTAAAGCTTGTAATCAAATAATGGGTGCTAAAAAATCAGATTTAGTGAATCATTCGAAATCAAAAAGTCGTTGTGAGTTGTAAAAACGGCAAATATTTGCTTGCTTAAGATATAGTCTTTTAGTTGTAAGTCATTATATAAGTTTTAGATCTGTTGATCATATAACAGGAGTTAGTCAATTATGTTTTAAAGACCCAGATCTCTCTGGCTCACTTAAATTAAAAAGATCCAAATGCATAAGTATAATTAAAAATGTGCTGGCTCCTGTTATTAAAGACGAAATAATTTCAGAATTAGAAAATAAACCATTTTCTATTTTATTGGATGAGAGTACAGACCTGAGCAATACAAGACTACTATGCATTCTTGTAAGGTATATTCATAAGAATTCAATGAAAACCCATTTATTAGATATAATTAAAATAAACGCAGATGAAGGTACCGCCAAAGGTTTATATTCTCTTTTTAAAAAATGCGTTATATCCAATCAAGTAAAAATTACCAATATTGTTGGATACTGTTCCGACAACGCTAGTGTTATGATGGGCAATAACGAATCTTTCAAAACTTATCTTTTAAAGATAATCCTAATATAATTGTCAATGGCTGCATTTGCCACTCTGCTCTCATTTAGTGGCGGTGGCGGCAGCTGAAAAGATTCCAAGCAACGTTGAAGATCTTTTACAAAACTTATATTATTACTTCTCAAGAAGCCCAAAAAGGCAGTGTGTTCTTGAATTACAGGAATATTTCAAAAAGTCAAAATTAAAAATTTTAAGCCCTAGTAAAACAAGGTGGCTTGCTTTATCCAAATGTGCTGATAGAGTTTTGGATCAGTGGGACATCTTGCTTAGCCTATTAAGATTAGCTTCCTTTGAAGACAAAAATCCTGTAGCAAATGTAATACTTAATGAGTTACAGAATCCATCTGTTAAGGCGTATTTAATGTTTTTTAAATTCGTATTGCCCATTTTTAACCAATTTAATGCTCTCTTTCAATCAGAGAAAGTTATGCTTAATATCATATCAATAGAGAGTGAGCGATTTGTACGTCATCTATGTACAAACTTTATGCGACCAGAATATTTTAAAAATGAGAAATTATATAATCTAAATCCTAATGATCCCCACTGCTTATTACCAATTGAACAAGTGAATGTTGGTTCGCATACAATGGATGCAATAAAACACTGCAATAACACGGCAATCGAACAATTTAAATTAAAATGTGTCACATTTTACCAAAAATCGGTAGAAGAGTCCCTTAAAAGATTTCCTATCAAAGACAACTTCTTTTCAGAGCTAAAGTTTCTCTCACCGGTTGATGTGATGAACAATCGTCTTATTATAAGTGATATCTTTCATGACGCCGTTTTAAAAAAATTTGCCCTTCATATTGAAACCGAAAAGGCAATTTTGGAACTAAAAAAAATATGTATTTATTTTAGTGATAGTGAGAAAGAGGAGATTTTAAAAACAAAAAGTAATGTCATTGAATTTTGGTCGTTTGTAAACGACCTCAAAAATTTTAATGACGAATATTTATTTCGCAATATAGGTAAGCTGGCTCTAATCATTTTAACATTGCCTCATGGAAACGCTGATGTTGAGCGAACTTTTTCTTATATGCTTGATTACAAAACAAAAAAAAGAAATAAAATAATACCATCAATTTTGTCTGCACTACTTACAATTAAATTAGACTTGGAATCAAAAAACAGTGCTGTTTATCCTATAGTTTTAATGAGAATCATTTAAACAAATATAAAAAGAATTTATATAATGTAAATAAGGAAGAACAAGCTGAAGAAGAAGTGATTTCTGATTCTGACTGTGAATAAAATAAGCAAACGTAGGCATTTCCACGTTTCCGCTTCTTCTTTGTCCTTATTTTTTGTTTTTTTTTTCTATTAAAATTAAGATATTGGTGATAGTTTCTATTTTTTTATTAGTTCCTAATTCTAAACCAAAGACAGTTTTGTTTTTTAGAGGTATACTTTTTATGTTTTTACGAAAAATTGCAATTATATTATGTTACTGTTTGTATTTTTAGTAGGGTTTTTAGACAGTGTTTAAAAAAAAGTAAATATGTAAAAAATATATTTGTTGTTTATTTTAAGCTTCCCCCCCTCTTAAATTTTTAGACCGTAGCGGCATGTAGCGGAATTTTGCGATGCGTGTGACGGATATTTTAAACTTCGCTTTGGCAACACTGATTTTCAGCTGCCAAATATTTCAGTATGGTTTGGCTACGGATGCTGGCGACGTGGCCATGGCGTCCAGGTGAGTGAATCAATGACTTACTTGTAGTTGGAGACAAAAGCGTGTTCGTAGTTGAAGACAAGCGTAGGTTCCTGTCTTGAAGTTTGTTGCCAGTAGAGGTAAACAAAAAGTACGGCGCATAACAGTGTGACGACCATCAAGGCACGACGCAGGTCGCCCTGTTTCATCCTTTCGCGCCTCTGAAACAACAGAAAAAATAATGTCAAGAAGAGTAACTCGTAACCTAAGAAAATAACAGTCTAACGCTATGATTCTGTAGTGCTCAATTGTTTATTCTTTGCGTCCCGCCGTCATAGCCAACTAATTAGAAAACGAAATCTGTACTTATAGGAGTTTTTCAATAAAAGTAATAAATTGCAAATTACTCGAAAAGTAAACATTTTTGGGATATATAACCCTGTATAAAGTTACGCTAAAATTTAATTTCCATTCGAAAAAATCTACTTTTGGCAGTTTTTGACATTCAATTTTTATATTAATTTTTTGTCCACCCTATACCGGGTGTCCGTAAAGTTGGGGTTTTCCTTTTCAGAAACAACTACCCTTGAAATATGTATACTAAGTGACATATAAATCCGAACACCCAGTTTAAATGGTTTTATTTTAATAAAATTTTGTATAAGTACTTAATGAAGCATAATAAGTAAATGATAAAAATTTCAAAATGATTGCACTGCTTTAAAGCCCTTTGACCTTTAATAATGTGTGGATGCACCCTGATGTGCTACGCATTCTCCAACGTGCCTAGGCATGCTTCTGATCTGGTGGTCAATGTCCTCCTGTGGTATCTCATTCCAGGCAACCACCAACTCCTCTCGAAGTGCTTCTAGAGTCTGAGGAGGACGTTGCAAATTGAGCAATCTCCTACCCATCATATCCCACACGTGCTCAATTGGGGATAAGTCGGGAGATCTTGGTGGCCATGGCAACAATGTGACATAATTATGTTGAAAGAAGTCTATTGTGACTCTTGCAACATGTGGTCGGGCATTATCTTTTTGGAAAGTTGGATCTGCCAGGGTGTCAAGATAGGGTAAAAGATGGGGTTCTAGAACTTCGTGGATATAACGCTGCGCGTCCATGTTACCTCTGATGAAGATTAAAGGTGACCTGGAATCATAAGCTATAGCACCCCAAACCATAACTCCAACAGTGTGATGAACATGTCTTTCAACAAAAAACTGTGGATTCCTCCTTTTACCACGTCGCTTTCTAACCCTGGCACGACCATCATGCATGCCTAAACAAAATCGAGACTCGTCACTAAAGACAATACTGTTCCATTCCTGATCCCAGAGTGACCGTTGTCTGCACCACTCAAGGCGATTACGTCGGTGTTCTCGAGTTAAAGGGAGGACCCAGTGTGGCCGGTATAAAAACAAGCCAAAACTTCTCATTCGTCGGTAAACACTTCGCATGCCAATAGGTTTTCCGTGTTCTGCAAACCATTCATTTGCAATGAACCTGGTAGTGGAGAAACGGTCCCTTAAGGCCAATAATCTTAGGCGGCGATCTTCACGGTCTGTTGTTCTACGGCGGCGTCCAGTGCCACTTGCTCTTCTCGAAGCCATGCCTGACAACACCTAACCACAGTGTCTACACTTCTTTGCACTCTAACTGCAATTGCCCGAAAAGAAAGTCCAGCTTCCTGAAGTCCCACTATACGGCCCCTATCAAAGTCACTAAGTTGACGAAATCGTACAGGTCTCCGTACTCTAGGCATCGTAACTGATCGTAAAGGATGTCAAGAACCAAAATCCGCCAACGTTGATTCTTTACTGCGGCTGAAATATTCATTTTTAGAGCGTTAGTGAATTAAAAAAAAGCAGTATAAAAACCGGAATGTCCAACTGATAAGGCTGAAAATTTTTTCACTTGTTATTTACAGTAAGATAAATCATTCACCAACTTTTATTAAAATAAAACCATTTAAACTGGGTGTTCGGATTTATATGTCACTTAGTATAACAAAGGTAATGTGTAGTGAAACGAGGGCGACCAAGTAAAAAAAATAAAGGAAAAAGTACTCACTCTCCAAATTTATACTGAGGATGGGGAAGCGCCCTATAGGGGCACATAACAACACAAAAAGAGTGCTTATAGAAGTTAAACATTTGTTCGATTAGAGATGTGATAACACGAAATAATAAACTGTAATAGAGATTCAAAACATCAAGTAAAGACGAAAGAGTTTTTTTTCGTAGAGTTTTCCTCGGTTATCGGCTTGCTTTCACTTTAACGTTAACGACTCTCCAACTCTTCCACCTGTCGAACTGGTAGGTGTTTGATAGAATAACTCATCAAATAATATGGAGAAAATCATTTGATGATCTGATTGTACATATTCTAAATGCGACACCACTGAATCAATGATCATCTGTTTGACCTCTCGGTCCAAGAGGATCATTCGGAGGATCATTCGGGAAGAGCAATAGTGACAATATAAAATTGTAATTATACAGGGTTTCCCCAAAGTTGGGGTTTTCATTTTCAGAAAGAACTACCCTTGAAATAACAAAGGTAATGTGTTGTGAAACGGGGGCGACCAAGTAAAAAAAAATAAAGGAAAAAGTACTCACTCTCCAGTTGACGAGAAGGGCTAAGTACGTCTCTGCCCGAAATCATACCGCTCCAACAGAAAATAATAATAATAATAAAATGTCTTTATTAGGCACATTATATACACTACCACATAATGTGACCTCTACGTAGGCGAAGTCTAGCTCTTGGCTACTCTACTTAACCTACCCAAATACTCAATTGAAACACTCAATCAAAAGAAACTTTGATAAGCAAAAGACGCTTCAAAACAACGAGCTTGATAGCTTCCTAGCATACATATATACACACATATATTACGTAAACTAAAATTAAATGTAAGAATTAAAAACTAACTTTTCCAAAATTACTATAATGACAAATAAATATGTTTCACATGCTTACGAAATCTGTTTACTGGCCAATCCTTTATATTGTCATCTAATTCGTTATAAATCAGGATAGCATTGTAAGTGTATGAACTACGAAATAAAGTTGTTTTATACATAGGGATCTCTAGTCTTTTTTTGTGTCTGAAATCAATGTCTGAATTATTTCGTCTGAAAACAAATTTCTCATAAAGATACAAGGGGGATCTAGAAGATATGATCTTATGTGTAAACACTGCTAGATGGTACTTGCAAGCATTTTCTATACACATCCAACCAAGCTGAAATCTCTTTAAGGAAACATGATCATACTTCTTGAGATTAAATACAAATCGACAACAAGTATTTTGGAGTTTTTGGAGTCTTGCTTTTGTGATAGAATCAAGACAATGATAGAACACAGTGCTACAGTAAAATAAGCTTGGAAATATAATAGCCTCACATAACTTTTTTCTAACTTTAAAATTCAAAATAGAGCGATTGACATAAAAACACTTCAACGTTGCATAACATTTTTTTAAGATAGACGAGACATGCTCCTTAAACCGTAAAGTATAATCAATAATCAACCCTAAATTGTTTGTAGTATTTACGACAGCTAGACGCTCCTTGTCGATTTTTACATCAAGAGAATTCAATACAGTGTTACGTTTGACAGCAGGACAAAAAAGCATCACTGAGCACTTATCCTTATTGAGCTTAAGATTATTACCATTTGAGTATCCTACTATTGCCTCCAAATCATCATTAAGCTCATTGATTGAAGTATGCAAAGTGTTACTATTAAAGCTTTTATATATCTGTGTATCATCGGCATAGCACATCACAGAAGAGTTTTTCACAGAGCTACCCAAGTCTATAGTATAAATTAAGTACAACAAGGGCCCTAAAACTGAACCCTGAGGGACACCTGATGTTATATCAATCGGACTAGATATAGTGTTGTCTATCTCTACTACTTGTTTACGATTTGAAAGATATGTTATAAAAAACATTAGAGGTATGTCTGAAAAACCAAAAAACTTCAATTTAGCACATAAAAGCTCATGATCTATTTTATCGAACGCCTTAGAATAATCTAATGATACAAGTGCTGAAGCATCTCCCTTATCAAGCGAAGCAATGATGTCATCTAAAACCCTTGCTAAAGCTGAAGTTGTACTAAAACCACTGCGGAAACCAGATTGACACTTGGGAAAGAAATCATTATTAGAGAAATAATGATAAACCTGATGTTTAATCAATTTCTCCAATATCTTCGATATAACAGGAATCAAAGTTATAGGTCTTAAGTCTGAGAGACATTTTGGATTTTTACATTTAGGCAAGGGTTTGACAAGAGATAGTTTCCAAGCATCAGGGAAATACCCAGCCTCCAGGCAACAGTTCAATAAATGCGTCAGGGGTAGTAATACTCGAGGCAAGCAAAGCTTCAGCATTGAGACTGTTATACCATCCGAACCTGCTGCATTAGATTTTAGGGACAGAATAATGTCTAGCACATTTTGTGGGGTAGCAAAACTAAATTCAAATCTAGCACTTTCATTAATTTTGGTACTATTAAATTTATCAACTAGATCCTTGCAATTGCCCGAAGGCGTGAAAACGGAAGAAAAATAATTGTTTACTTCATCGGCATTCTTCAACTGTGTAGGTAAAGATCTATCTACATTAGTTTTGAGTTTCAATGAATGTACAGCTTTCCAGAGATGCTTGTTACTATTTAGTTGTTCATTGAAGCTCAGATATGCTGCTTTCTCCCGCCTAATAGCGGAAATGACATCATTTCTTAATTTCTGGTAATATTCGAGACTAGCTGGACTTTTTAAAATCTGATATTTTCTAAAGGCTTTATTTCTCTCGGAGATCAAAAATTTTATGCCACCTGTGAGCCATGGAGCATAAGGTTTAGTAATACGTGATGAAATAACAGGAGCATGAACATCAAACAAATCCAAAATATGATTAGAAAAAAAACGTAGCTTTATCCTCTAAGTTAGTGATGTAATATATATCGTCCCATGGGATTTTATCCAAATCCACCAAAAACTGATCTTTACAACAGTGTTTAAAATCTCTATATTTGACAGTCTTTTGAAAATTCTTAGGCCGTGTGATGTTGAAGTCACATCTGACTACATTATGATCTGACAAATTCGGAACAGGTACAGAGCTAGTTGAAATTAATGATTCAGCTAAGTTATTTGTTGTACAAATGACATCTATGG